GGGTGGGAGCTGATGTTTTCAACCCTTTCCTAGAGAGGGGTTGGTGATTCCCCTAACTTCAAAATATTGTAAGTTTTAATGTATCTATTTTGAGACTGATCTCATTTTAAAAAACAGAGAATTGTTCCATTGAAGATCACAGAAGCAATAATCAGCCTCAGTCTTGTCACCAGACAGGCAGAGATGACCAGCTCCTCTGGGATTGGGGGTTGACTTTCATTTCACCATCTGAATGCCTGTCCTCCTTGGTTTGAACCAGTAGAGCATGCTTCAGTTCCCATCTGGGTAATGTCTACAGGGAATCACCAGAAGTCCCAGAGTCTGGAATTTCTCCCATCGGTGCTGCCCACCGACACAAAGGACAGGTTTATCCTGAAATCTCCTTCTTGCGCAATGAGTAAGTTCTGCTGTTGACATCAGTCTCTGCAACAACCTGGAAGAGCAGTTTTGAAATTCCAGTTCCTAAAGCGTATCTCCAGCCAAGGAAGTTCCATTGGCATTTCTGAGCAGCCACGGACACAGAAGGAAATAGATGGCTATAGAATGTACCCTAAAGCAGAAGTGAGTACTTGGGGCATATTGAGCCATTTCCAAAGTTGTCATAGGTTGTATTCATCCATTACGTTTAACTAGGTCAATTAAGAGCAGCTGCATTTATACAGTGTGCAATCTTCTTGTGTATCTTAGCACGTTGTACAAATCCAACTCACTAGGTTAGCTTTTGATTCAATGTAGTGTACGAACCTAGAAAATTAATTCAGAAACCCAGTTGTACCATCAGAATGTAGCCTTAGAAACAGTCATTTTTGATGAGACAGAAGGGGACAGTCGTTAAACACATGGGGAATAATAATATTGTTACTTAATTACTTTTATTTCACCCTGATTTCATTTATGTTTTAAATTTAATTTTTATCCTGGCACTGCCCACTTTTTAGAGTAGGGTCTCCCTCCAATAGACCTGTCAAGACCAGGTGTGATCCTTGGACCAAAATAGGTTGTGCATCCCTGCTACATAGCAACCTCTTCCAGCTGGGAGCTCTCCCCAGATTTTGGACTCTTCCTGCCTCCATTTCCCGAAGAATATGGTTTGCCATTTTGGGTAGCATGAACTAAGCAGAAGTGGATTTGTACACAGCCAGAACACTCCAGTGTCCCTGAGACTATTCATGCTGTGTCAATAGGAGAAAATTAAGTTTGACTTCTGAGCAAAACCTTCCTCAATTAGATGCTGGCATCAGAAGAGAAATCTATAAAGCAGGGTGAAAGATTGTGTCTTAAATGGGACCAATGAAGGAATAAAGGCTCACATTTGGCCAGGCTTAGATGCAAATTAACTTTTCCTACTGAGCTTGACTGTATGGGTTTTAGGAAGCATTACCTTTTTGACTCAGAGGAACCCTGTAAACTGGATGAATGTAACGATGTTGTCCCTGATCAACCTTGGAACTGAAACCAACTTGCAACAATTATAAAGCTGATAATCTATTACCGTAACACCACCACTTGAGAAAAGCTCCATGCAGGCAGCTATTCAACAGCTGGATTTTATCCCCGGCATTATCTTTTTCATGCACACACACACACATAAAATTTCCTGACTGGGGTGCTGGTGGTGGTGGTGATGAATGTGTGAGAAAGATGCTAGTTCCAAGACTACACTTGATCTAGCTTAGTTGTAAGGAATCTGAAGCCCAGATATTTCCAAAGTCCAGGTCCACTCCTGGTTCACACAGTTAAAGGTGAGGATTGCTGGAAGCTGTACTTCAGCGATATCCAGAAGACTAGAGGTCCCCATTTCTGATTTATTGGCTGGTCTGAACTCTTACCCATGAATTGCAGTTGCTCAGATCTGAGCAGACAGTCAAGTGCCAAACTATTTCAGAACTGCAGCACAAAATACTACAGCAGATTTGGGGTGAGGGGGAAAGGACAAATTTATTTCACGTCTAATAGTATTCACTGTAATACTGAAACAACACATTTCTGAAAGATGTACAAAATCAGGGAAAATATATTAAAAACATAGACCTAAATTAAAAAAGCATGAACGCTGGCTTTTGTCGGGTGTTGGATAGGGTCACTGTTGCTCCCCCAACTTCATCAAAATATCATAAAATGTTGGATTTCAAAATTGTTCTGAAAAAAAGTCACTTTCTACTGGAAACATGTTCCTCCTTCTCCCCCCCAAGACTCAGTAATGAATCAGAAATTTCATCTCCCACCTGCATGAGGAAAGATTAGTTACAATATCACTCATTGCCTAAAAATGTTGAAAGACCAGGCCTATTTTTTTATGCCAATGAAGCAGAATGGTGGGTGGACGTGTTGTATTTTGGGCTCTGTAGGATCTACAGTCTTGTTCTTTCTTTTTTAGCTTGAGTAAACGTTGGAGTTTGGAGACAAGGACTCGCCTACTACAGCAATTATCCAACTGCAGTTGGGTAGGGTGAGAACTTGGACCGGCTGTACAGGCCTCATTATTCTAATGCGTCAGTTTGAATTTTTTAACAAAAACAGTTTGCAATGTACACTTATT